TAGCAATAAAATTACCAAAAGATATACAAGACCTTTATGATGAAAAATCTTAAACATTTAATTAGAAGACATAAAATAAGTTTGGAAGTTGATTAGAAAAGCCAAAATTATAAAGACAACGTTTCGACATATTAATCTAGAGATTCAAAACACTACTAATCAAAATCCCCCCCAAAATTTTTTTGGAGAACCCTGACAGGCTGATATTAAAATTTCCATGAAAGTAAAAGGCCAGAAATAGCCCAAGCATTTTTTTTTTTTTAAGATTTTATTTGAGAAAGCGCACACATGCGCACGTGGAGGGGGGGACAAGGGAGAGGGAGAAGCAGACTCCCCACTGAACAGAGAGCCCACCTCAGGGCTCGATCCCAGGACCCTGAGATCATGACCTGAGCTGAAAATAGATGCTTAACTGACTGAGCTACCCAGGTGCCTCCAACCCAAGCATTCTTGATGGATATGACAAAAAGGACCTGCTTTATTCCAAACAGCAGAATTACAGTGTCATAAAATTTATATAGTGTGAAAGGGGCACAGGGATACAGGTATTGAAGGAGTAAGATGAAGATCACAGAAACAGCTCCATGCATATATGGGCTTACAAAGAAATTGGGATGTGTGGCCTATTTAAAGGAAAACAAAATTAACCAACATGGGTAAACAAAACGATACAGCCACTTTAGAAGGCAGTCTGGTGGTTTCTTACAAAACTAAACATACTATTACAATAAGATCTACAAATCATGCACACTACCATCAGATAAAATAGTTTTTAAATCAAAAAAGGTTACAAGAGACAAAGGACATTGTATTTTAACAAAAGGTTCAGTACAGCAAAAAGGTAACAATTAAAACATTTACACATCTAATAAAAGACCATCAACATATATGAAGCAAAAACTGAAAGAATTGAAGGAAGAAATTATTCTACAATAAATGGTTGGATGGGAGGGATGGGGTGGCTGGGTGATAGACACTGGGGAGGGTATGTGCTACGGTGAGCGCTGTGAATTGTGCAAGACTGTTGAATCACAGATCTGTACTTCTGAAACAAATAACGCAACATATTTTAAGAAAAAAGAAAAAGAAGAAGATAACAGGAGAGGAAGAAAAGGGGAGTATGTCAGAGGGGGAGACGAATCATGAGAGATGATGTACTCTGAAAAACAAACTGAGGGTTCTAGAGGGGAGGGGGTAGGGGGATGGGTTAGCCTGGTGATGGGTATTGAGGAGGGCACGTTCTGCATGGAGCACTGGGTGTTATGAACAGACAATGAATCATGGAACACTGCACCAAAAACTAATGATGTAATATATGGTGATTAACATAACAATAAAAAAATTAAAAAAAAATAAATGGTTGGAGACTTTAATAACCCCGCTCTCAATAATAAATAGAAAAACCACACAGACGATAAGCAAGGAAACAGACGACTTGAACAACACAATTAGGTCAACTAGATCTAACAGGACACACACACTACCCAACAACATACACATTCTTCTCAAATGTACACGGAACACTGTCCACATTAGATCCTATGTTAGGCCAGAAAGTAAGTCTCAATAGATTTTAAAAGATAGACACCATACAAAGTATCTTCTCCAACCACAACGGGATGATGTTAGAACTCGGTAACATAAGGAAATTAGAAAATTCACAAATCTGTGGAAATTCAGTAACATGAATCAGAAATCACAAGAGAAATTAGAAAGACTTAAGAGATAAATGAAAATGAAAACACAACATTCAAAACAAAAGATGCAGGGAAAGCAGTACTAAGGGGGAAATTTACATTAAAAAACAAGAAAGATCTTGGGGTGCCTGGTGGCTAAGTCAGTTAAGCTTCCGACTCTTGATCTCAGCTTACGTCTTGATCTCAGGGTTGTGAGTTCAAGCCCCGAACTGGGCTCCATGCTGGCCATGGAGCCTACCTAAACACAAAAACAAAAAACCAAAACAAAACAAAAAAACAGAAGAGAGATCTCATGTGAACAACCCAACTTGACAACCTAAGGACCTTAAAAAAAAACAAAAACTAAACACAAAACTTGCAGAAAAAGGAAGTAATAAAGAAGAGAGCTGAGATAAATGAAATAGAGAATAGAAAGATAGCAAAAGTCTATGGAACTAAAAGTTGGTTTTACAAAGATCAACAAAATTGACAAAACTTTAGCTAACTTGACCAAGAAAAAAGAACTTATTAAATCAGAATAAAAGGGGGGCTATTACTACTAATGCTGTCAAAATAAAAAGGATCATAAGAGAGTGCTATAAACAGTTATTTGCCAACAAATTAAATGATTTAGATGAAACAGACAAAATCCTAGAAATACAAAACCTACTAATACTAAATCACGAAAAAATGGGAAACTAAAACAGATCTATAAATAGTAAAACAACTGAATCAATAATCAAAAATCTCCCAACAAAGAAAAGCCCTACACCAAATGGCTTCATTAGTGACTTCTACCTGACATTTAAAGAACTAACACCAATCCTATTCACATTTTTCCAAAAAACCTGAAGAGTGCAACTTTCTAATTCATTCTATGAGGCCAGCATTGTCCTGATATCAAAGTCAGACAAGGACACTACAAGAAAACTACAGACTATTATCCCTTATTGAGTACTGATGCAAAAATTCTCAATAGAGTATTAGCAAACAGAATTCAGTAGTAATAATGAAAAAACTATACAGCATAGCCAAAGGGATGCAGGGATGGTTCAGCATACACAATTTCATCAGTGTAATTTACAGCATTAAGACAATGAAGAAAAAAACCCACATCATCATCTCAACTGATGCAGGAAAAAAAAAAAAAAATCAACAAAACTCAACACCCTTTTATGATAAAAAAAAACTCAAAAACTAAGAATAGAAGAAAATTATCTCAACATAATAAAAACCAGATACGAAAACCCACAACAAACATCATACTCAATGGTAAAGGACTGAAAGCTTTTCCTCTAAGATGAGGAACGAGGCAAGGATGCCTACTTTGAATACTTCTATTAAACACAGTACTGGAAGTTTGAGCAAGAAAAAGAAATAGAAGGCACCTAAATTGAAAAGGAGGAAGTAAAATTATCTGTGTACAAAATCACCAAAGCGCAGAAGGATACAAAAATCAACATGCAAAAATGAGTTCCATTTCTATACACTAATAATGAACAATCCAAAAAGAAATTTAAAAGATAATGAAAACTACAGAAAAATTACTGAAACAAATTAAAGACATAAATGAAAAGATAGCTCCTATTCATGGCTTGGAAGACTTAATATTGTTAAGATGTCAATACTTCCCAAAGTGATCTACAGATTCAATTCAATCTGTCTCAAATCATGGAAATGCAAATTCAAATCATGATTAAGTAACACTATATACCCAAGAGATTAGCAAAAATTTCAGTCTGACAATACTAAATAGGGACAAGGACACAGAGTGTCAGAAATTCTCATGCAATATTAACGGGCATGTAAATTGGTATAATCATTCTGGTAAATAGAGTGACATTAACCCGCAAAATTTCAAGGTAAGTATCCTCTATGACCCAGCAATCCCTTGAAATCCATTTCAGGCATATATTTAGAAATATGAAGGTTTATGTATATCATATAATAAATGTTCAAAGCAACATTTTTTTGTAATTGCCAAAAACTGGAAGTACCCAAATACCTGTAAGTAATAGAATGAGTAAATAATTATATATGCATATAACTGAATAAAACACAGCAATGAGATCTAATGATGAAGAACCACAGCTTCACACATACAGATAATCAATCATACAAGTAACATGTTAAAAAAGAGAAGTCACCAAAGACTACCTACAGTGTGATTTCAAGTATTTGAAGTTAAAAGTTGGCAAAACTGAACCATATTGTATATGGATATCTACTACGTAGAAAAAATTAAGCTTAGTCAAACAAAGTACACTTTGTTTTTTGACAGTCCACCTAATTTAATCCACCAAAGGTGAAGCTCAATTTCAAAGTTGTGACTCTTCTATTTACTCCCAAGAACTGGGAACCAGTATTCCAATTCAACTTTTACCAATAACTAATTTTATGTGTTAAATAATTAACTGCTCAATTTCCTCATTCTTTAAATTAAAAAAAGGTGGAAAAGAAAAAGAAAAATACGATGATTTGTACTTTCCCTTCAAGTGTGATGCTATATACAATAAATATATTACATATTCATTATTAATATCTTGTCCCAGATAAATTTATTTCAAATAGAGAAAAGTAAAATAATCAGTAGAAAAAACTGTTTCTCCTGTTACTATTACTCCTGAGCAGCAAATTAGGCATTTAGGGAAGAATGTTTTTATCTTAGATTCCTAAACTGCTAAACAATTTGTTTAAAAAAAAAAAATCCCTATTTCAGCTAGGAACTGCTATCTTCCAGTAATTTGTAAAATGACCAACACAAAGGGAAAAAGGAGAGACACCCTGTACGTTCTCCAGGCCTTTTAGAAAACATGGAATTATTACGTTGGCCACATACATGCAAATCCACAAGAAAGGTTATACTGTAGACATCAAGGGGACCGGCACTATTCAAAAAGCAATGCCCCACCAATGTTACCATGGCAAAATGAAGTCTACAATGTTACCCAGCATGCGGTTGGCACTGCTGTAAATAAACAAGGGCAAGATTCTTTTTGTCTAGAAAATTTTTGTGCATGCTGAAAACATTAAGCACTGAGAGACAGATAGAGCTTTCTGAAATATGTAAAGGAAAATGATCAGAAAAAAAGGAAGCCAAAGAAAGGAGTACTTGAATCCAACTGAACTGCCAGCCTGCTCCACCCAGAGAAGTACACTTTGTGAGAACCAATGGAAAGAAGCTTCAGCTGCTGGAACCCACTCCCTATAAATTCATGACTGGGTAGATGTAAAAAAATAAAAGACCTCTGGACTGTTAAAAAAAAAAAAAATTCCTAAATAATTGTGTTATGGAGACTAAGATTCTCTCATATAATAGCTTACCTTCCACAAGCAATCTGAGTGACAATGCTTCCCATAAGTTCAAAAACTTTCCTTGGGTTTATTTCATGACTGGTAGAGTTATGACCCAACTGACCATACCCTCCAGCTCCAAAAGTAAACACTCCACCTTCCTAAAAAAAAAAAGACAAAACCCTTTATCATTAGAAGGCCTGATAAAAGAAAATAATCTTCAGGAAAATAGGTTAATCTTTAATACATGGAGTCAATTTTTCTCTTCTATTGTCTTCACAATTTAACTTAACAACTTAACAAATAGCTGACTTTTCAAGGTAGAATGACTTAAACCTAAGAGAACTGCAGGCTATTTTCAAATATTTTAAAAGTACTTAATTATGTTCTTATCATTATATTGAGCTGAAGCCATCATTAAAGAGATACTAATCATTTTTTGCATTGCCTTTCACGATCATTATAATCAGGATCTTGTTGAATCCCAAGTACATACCTATAAAATATCACAAAACCTAAAAATGGTATCATCTTCAGTTTTCAAACTAGTTATGCTTTTATATAAAGCCACTGCAGAAAGAATGCAATTAAACCAGAGTGCACAAATATTGCTATTTTTAACACACAGTTGCTACAATACACAGTTGACCTTCAAACAATTCAGGGGTTGGGGTGTCAATCCCCTGTGCAGTCAAAAATCCATACACAGCTTTTGCTTCCCCAAAAACTACTAATAGCCTACTTCTGACTGAAAACCTTACTGATAACATAAACAATACCTAACTTAATTTTTTTGGTATTTCTAGGCTACACAGTTTACCTGAGTTTTTTCCAATTGTTGCAAATCTCCAAAAACTTTACCAATATATTTGTTGAAATAGATCTGTGTATAAGTGGACCCATTCAGTTCAAACCTGTGTTGTTGAAGGGTCGACTATATAGTCTTTTAAAAATTTATGGTAAAAACACACAACTGGATTAGGTTATGTATATAAAAAAGTAATTTGTGATGACAGCTTAACACAAGCACAATTGGTTTTTCAATTCAACTGTTTTTCTTCAGAGTTGTAGCTTTATATACAATTTTATATTCTGCTTTCATCATTGAATAGTGTAAGTATATATATGGCTATGTAAGGAAATTGATTTTTCTTTTTATCATGAAAAATTTCAAACTACATAAAAGTGAAGACATGTATATATAAATATAAATACAAACACACACACACACACACACACACCATCAAATAACCATCACTTGGCTTTAACAACCAGCAAAAGTTAAATAACCTTGTTTCATCAATGCCCCTGCCATTTTCCTTTTTCAGGGTACCTTAAAGCAAACTGTGGACATCAAATCATTTCACCTATAAATGTGTATGTATCTCTAATGGCATATACCTCTCACATACATAAATATGTAACACAGTAATACTATTATCACATTTACAAAATATTAACTTCCTTTTTTAACAGAAATGGCAAAAGTGTTCATTTTTATTTCTTATGGTTTTTGTAACTGGTATCATTTTTTTCCAGTTTTATTTAGGAATGATTGAACTGACAAATAAAACTATATATTTGAAGCATACAATGTGATTTCACATACATATACATTGTGAAATGACTACCACAAAGGAGTTAATTAACACATCCATCATCTCCACTTTTTTTGTATGAATAAGAATGCTTCAGATCTACTCTCCCGGCAAACTTCAGGCATAGAATACAGTATTGTTAACTATAGTCACCACGCTGTACATCTTATAACAGAAAGTTTGTACCTTTGACCAATTTCCCCCCATTTTCCCTACCCCCACCCCAGCCCCTGGCAAACATTCTATTCTCCATTTCTACAAGTTTGACTTTCTTTTTTTTAAGATTCCCCATATAAATGACATGATCTTTCTCTAGCTTATTTTACTTAGAATAATGCCCTTCAGGTTCATCCATGTTGTTGCAAATGGAAGTATTTCCCTCTTTTTGTGGCTGAGTATTATTCCTGTGTGTGTGTGCGTGTATGTGCACGCGCGTGCATGCACATGCGCATATATATGTACACATCACACATTTTCTTTATCCATTCATCTGGTAACGGACACTTAGGTTGTTTCTTGTCTATTGTGAAAAATGCTACAATGAACATGGGAGTGCAGTTATCTCTTCAAGTACCTGTTTTTATTTCCTTCAGGTATATACCCAGAAGTGGAATTTGCTGGGTCATATAATTCCATTTGTAATTTTTTGAGGAACCTCCATATTGTTTTCTATTTGCACAGTTTACATTCCCACCAGCAGTGGGAACAAGGGTTCCCCCTTTCTTCACATCCTCACCAATATTTGTCCTTTGTTTTTTGGGTAACAGTCATCCTAACAGATGTGGGGTGTTCTCTCACTGTGGTTTTGATTTGCATTTCCCTGATGATTGTGAGGTTAACACCAAGCATCTTTTCATGCACCTGTTGGCCACTTGTTATAGTCTTTGTTAAAGTACCTATTCAAGGTCCTTTGCCCATTTTTAAACTAGATTGTTTGGTTCTTTTAGCCATTGAGTTATAGGAGTTCCTTTTAAATTTTGGATTATTAACTCCTTATCAGATAAATGGTCTGCTAATATTTTCTCATTCCATAGGCTGCCTTTTCATTTCATTGACTGTGTCCTCTGCTGTGCAAAAACTTCTTTCATTTGTAGTTCCACCTATTTATTTTTGCTTTTGTTCCTTGTGCTTTTAGTGTCACACCTAAAAAATGATTAAGACCAGTGTCAAAGGGCTTTTCACCCCATGTTTTCTTCTAGGAGTTTTAGTTTCAGGTCTTAGACTCATGTCTTGAACCCATTTTGAGTTACATTTTGTTAATGGTAAAAATAAGGGTTCAATTTCTTTCTTTTGCATAGAGATACCCAGTTTTTCCAACATCATTTATTGAAGAGACCAAACTTTCCCACTGTGTGTTGTTGGTGCCTTGTCACTGATTAGTTAACTGTATATATGTGGGTTTATTTCTGGGCTATCTATTGTTTGATTGGTCTGTCTGTGTTTATGTCAGTACTATACTGTTTTGATTACTATAGCTTTGTAATATAGTTTGAAATCAGGAGCTTGATGCTCCAGCTTTGCTGTTTTTTTCTCAAGATTGCTTTGGCTATTCCTGGTCTTTGTGGTTCCATATGTATTCCAGGATTGTTCTACTTATGTAAAAATGCCACTGGAATTTTGATAGGGGTTCCACTGAACCTGTGGATCACGTTCAGTAGCACAGATATTTTAACAAAATTCTTCTAGTCCAAGAACATGCACTATCTTTCCATTTATTTGTGTATTCTTCAATTTCTTTCATTGATGTCTTATACAGTTTTCAGTATACAGGTCTTTCACTCCTTGGTTAAATTTATTCCTCAGTATTTTATTGTTTTTGATGATACTGTAAATGGGACTGCTTTCTTAATTCTCTTTCAGAGTTTGCTCTTAAAGTGTATAGAGATAGTACTAATTTTTTATGTTGACTTTGTATCCTGAAACTTTACTGGTCATTTATTAGTTCAGAGTTTTGGCAGTCTTAAGGGTTTTCTATATATAATATGTGATCTGCAAACAGAGGCAATTTTAGTTTTTCCTTTCTAATTTGGATGTATTTTTATTTCTTCTTCTCTACTAAAATTGCTCTGGCTACAACATTCAATACTATCTTGAATAGAGGTGATGAGGGTGGGCATCTTCATCTTACACTTGATCTTACGGGAAGAACTTTCAGCTTTTCACCGCTGAATATGATGTTAGCTGTGGGCTTGTCATTTATGGCCAATGTTGAGGCATATTCCTCCTATACTTTACTGACAATTTTTTTAAATGTTTTATTTATTTATTTGACACAGAGAGAGACAGCAGGAGAGGGAACACAAGCAGGGGGAGTGGGAGAGGGAGAAGCAGGCTTCTCGCTGAGCAGGGAGCCTGATGTGGGGCTTGATCCCAGGACCCTGGGATCATGACCTGAGCTGAAGGCAAACGCTTAATTACTGAGCCACCCAGGCGCCCCACTTTACTGAGGATATTTATCATGAAAGGATGTTGAATTTCACCAAATGCTTTTCCTGCATCTATTAGGATGATCATATGACTTTTAACCTTCATCCTATTAATGTGGTGTTGACTGATTTGCAGATGTTGAACCATTCTTACATCTCAGGGATAAATCTCACTTGATCATGGTATGTGATCATTTCAATGTACTGTTAAATTTGGTTTGCTAGTTTTTTGTTAAGGGGTTTTGTATCTATGCCCATCAGGGATATTGGCCTGTAATTTTACTGTTTTTGTAGTGTCTTTGTGTGATTTTGGTATAAGCATAATGGTGGCCTCATAAAATGCATTTAAAAGTGTTCCCTCCTACTTTTTGAAGAGTTTGAGATGGACTGGCATTATTTATTAAATGGCAGAATTCACCAGTGAAGCCATCGGGTCCTGGAGTTTTCTGTTATTGTTGGGCGATTTTTGATTAGTGATTCAATCTCCTTACTAGTTAAAGCTCTGTTTAGATTTGCTATTCTTCGTGATTCAGTCTTGGGAGTTTGGAGGTTTCTAGGAATTTATCCATTTCATCTATGTTATCTATCCAATTTGTTGGCATATAATTGTTCATAGTAGTTTCTTATAATCCTTTTATTTGTGCAGTATCAGTTGTAATGTCTCCTCTTCATTTTTGATTTTAAGTCTTTTTTCTTAGTCTCCCTAAAGATCTGTCGATTTTTTTATCTTTTCAGGAAAACAGTTCTTAGTTTTATCTTTTCTTATGTATTGTCTCTAGTTTTGCTCTGACCTTTGTAATTTTCTTCCTTGTGCAATCTCTGGCCTTAGTTTGGTTTTCTTTTTCCATAGTTCCTGGAGGTATTAAAGGCTATCTTTTTGAGAGCTTTTTCTTTTTTTCTTAATGTAGCTGTTTATTGCTTTATAGGATATGCGGTGATAACAGTTTATCACTATCTACCCTTACAGCTGTTTTTGTTGCATCCCGCAAGTTTCAGTATGTTGTGTTTCCATTTTCACTTGTCTCAAGATATTTTATTTCTCTTTTACTTATTTTTTGACCCACCGATTATTCAGGAGTTCCTATTATTGATTCATATCATTATCACGTGGAAAAGATACTTGATATGATTTCAATCTTCTTAAATTTGTTAAGACTTGTTTTATGACCTCTAACATATGATCTCTCCTGCAGAATATTCTGTGGTGTCCTTGAGGAGAATGTGTATGTGTTGCTGTTGGATGGAAATGCTCTGTAGATCTGTTAGGTCTATTTGATATAAAGTATAGTTCAAGTCCTATATTTCCTTATTGACTTTCCAATATGGATGACCTATCTGTTGTTGAAAGTGGGGTACTGGAGGGGCGCCTGCGTGGCTGCCTTCACCTCAGGTAGTGATCCCAGGGTCCTGGGATCAAGCCCCATATCGGGGTCCCTTCTCAGTGGGAGACCTACTTCTCCCTCTCCCACTCCCCCTGCTTGTGTTCCCTCTCTGTCTCTCAAATATATAAATAAAATATTAAAAAAAAAAAAAAGAAAGTGGGGTACTGGAGTCCCCTACTATTACTGCTGTCTCTTTGTTTCCAGCTCTGTTAATATTTGCTTAGTATTATCTAGGTGCTCTTATGTTGGGTGCAGTAAGTATAGTTGTTATGTCCCCTTCATGAACTGACCCCTTTAATTTTAATTTCTTAATATCTGATACTGAGGCCATGTTTAAATTTTCCTGATTATTTTATTATATCACACCAAAGTATATGTCTGGTTGGTAATGTTACTAAGTGGTTAACAAATTTCACAAACTAATTCATCCACATTAAGCTTAATGTTTCAATCTTTGTCTTGATCCACTATTAGGGAGTATAGAGATTTTCTAATCTTATTATTTCTTCTAGATTTATTGGTTGGAATTTTTCTACAGAGAACTTAATTCATCAACTATTAAGTTACTCTGAAATACAATCTGCAAATAGGATGCAGGGGAAATGTTTCTTTCTCATTTACTAATTTTTTTAAAAACTGAGTTGTTGTCCTAGCAACTTGCAAAGATAAGCAATGAAGTTTGCTTTGTATTGACTTCAGGAAGAAAAGTATCATAACGAAATCATGGATTTTTATATATTTGGTATATTTCCACTTATTGCCATTGGTATTTCTTTCTGTGAAATCTCCTGGATGTTGTCCCTCTGACATGACCTTGGTCCTCTTTTTTGTAACACATAATACCCAAGGCTATTCTTAGACTTTTTTCCCCCCAGATATGAAATCAGACTCTTCTCTAAGAAGCCCTGGTTATTTTTCATATAGAGTCTACAATAATCAAGGGATGCCCATTGCTTTCAGATTGTACATGGCTAGTTACTTCTAGGATCATTCAGTGGTCATGGCAAAAAAAAAAACCACTTTTCTTAGAAGGAAAAGAATAAGAGTATATAAAAATACTCTTAAAAGTGATTAAAAGTAAAGATCACAGGATTTTAATTTAATTCCTATTGTTTCATATCTCTTTTAAACTGAAGGTTATAGTTTCTAATGACAGTAAAGTACTTATTTGCTTTATCCTATCCTGTATGTAATATATTGAGAATAATACTATCAATTTTATTACTAACAAGACTACAGAAGGCAGTTTAAAATTTTTGGGTGAATTCAGTTTGTCTTTAGGCTATTTCCTACTATTGATATACAACAAAATACTGTATTTTAAAAGGACTTAATTAAAAGAATTCTTTTGAGTTGTGCCACTAGTATTTTTTTATTTTCAATTTTTAAACAATTGTTTAAAACTTTTTAATTGCTTAAAAACATTTATGTTGTAAACTGTAAAGCAAAGTACATTATACCTAGCTATTAAATTTTTAAAAATATAAATATCATGTAACATGTTCATCTTTTACCCCCGCTTATACAAAAGGCAACTATTCTGTACCTTTTTACTTAACAATATATCCTAAAGATATTCCACAGCATAATATAGAGATCTGCTTCATTCTATTTTACAAGTCACATAAACATGACTTGTAAGTACCTGTTTCACAAGTCCTGTGTGTTTACCATAGTTTATTTAACTAGGCTGCAACTGAAGGACATCTGCATTCTTTCATTCTTTTGCTATTAAAATAATGCCGCAATAAATGGCTTTGTGCATATATAATTTCCTATCTTTAGGACAGATTCTTAAAACGAGGATTGCTAAGTCAAAAGATGTATGTATATATGATCTGCGTAAGGAATTTGTAAATGAACTTGAAAAAATCTGACATCTTTATGATAGTGTGTTCACACCCATTAACATACATGTCTTTACATTTATTGTTTTTTAAAGTCTGTTTTTAAATTGCTAAGGTAGGTTTTGCAAAAGGAAACTGCTTCATAAAACAATCCTAATTTATTTGCAAAAAGCTCTTCCAGAAAAACAAAAGCTATATGGATATGGAACTGTATTCTAATTTAAATCAAGGGAAAATAAAATATTTTCCTGTTGGGATATTTAAAACGATCTGATTTTGTTAAAAATAATACACACCAAAAATTCCAGTGAACAAGTATCACCAGCTACTATCTTGAGAGGAATACAGAATATTAAAATTAAAAAAAAAAAGATAGAAATAGTTACATATCCTGGGAAAATGAGTTAAGTGGTTATTTGAAGGGCTGAATTTGATAAGCAGTAACATTGTGAGTCTTTCTACCACAAAGCTAGTCCTAAGGGATAATATACAAAATATTTTTTAGTATTATTTCAGCATAGCCTTATTTCTTCTAACCCCCCATGACAGAAGAGAATGACTAGATTTATAACTTGCCAACACGAGTTACTAAAACTGTAGTGATTACATTTGTAATTTGAATAAAAATCAATAAAATACAGTAAGATTAGCAGATAAAACTTCCTTACTAAAAAGCAAATAAGTTTTTAAAAATCACCTTTTATAATTAGTCATATTTTTAAAAGTACTCTGAGTATATTATACTTGATAATGGCTAAGAATAATTCTTATCAAAAAAATTCCCAATGTCGGTGTGTAGAATTTTGTGTATGTAGAAGTCTGATTAGAAGTTAATTTTGTCTTGCTAATATTATCTATTATGCAGAAGAAAGATAAAGAAGCAAAAACATTCATTTCTAATTCAGCTAATAAAAAAAGTGCCAGTTCCTTTATGTTAACATGACTAAAATAATATTCCTGGTAAAGGTTAGTTTAATGTGTTTATTTTCATTTTACTTCTAATCACTAGAGAACTATAAAGTCCTGATAACGAAATGGCACATACCCAAGAAAGTTACAGGACAGAGTTAAAACCATTAACAAGATTGTGATGAAAGCTCATTATAACTGTTTGCATAATACTTAGCCTATGGTTAATAGATTCATTCTCCTCTATTACTTGTTATGTAGTATTTACAAGCCAAGTGGGAGTTAAATTAAAATTAGGCAGTTATGCAATATAAACGGGATTGATACACAGAGGCTGGCAAGTCTGACAAACTAAAAAGAAATTTTCATTCAAAATATTATTTAAACAGTATTTCACATAAAGCTGAGAAATTCAATACATATTATCACATTTAATAGATCATAATTCACATTTCATAACATAAAACAACGTTGAAAATTAAGGAAAATTGTTTTTGACAATAATCTAGTTCTTGTCTTCAAGATAAATTACATTTTAGACATCAGTAACACTCGAGTTTTAATGTAAATATCATGAAAACATTCACTAATTATAAATAACTTCCATGAGTAAAAATAAAGAAGTTTTATAGGAGTACAATACCTTGGTTAGTGCAGCAGTATGATCTTCTCCACAACAAATATAAACTATTTTCTGAGTTCTTAGTGACTTTAGTAAATTAGGAACATACCTATCTGAAAATTCCAACAAGAGACGTTAACGGTATTTTTTAAGTTAAAACTCTTCTAAAATGTGTTTCCTCTACAGCTTCCCAAGCTCAGCAGTGATAAATAATTTTAACTTGATTCAATGATTTTGTAGTACAACCCTACTTAATTGGGTTCCCAGGTCTTTCTATTCATGCTGCTGTGATAGAGGGTTTTAAAGAGTAATTTAAGTGTTAAACTGCCTTAACACCAATCTGCACTGAACTAGAAATCAAGGAATTTCAAAGCTATTTGCTTCTAATATCATTCTTTATATTCACATCATGATAATTAAGCTCACAGGATTCTATTTAAGTACTTGAAAATTATACTTTCTGCTATTTTGTAGCAGAAAAGAAATATGTCCTAATCTGACATTTTTCTTATGCAGAACAAAATATTTTAAAATTCTGAGTATTTTTTGCTTATCATTACCAGTTGTTACTAGACCAACAACTCACTTTTGTCCACTTAAGTCATGACAATTATGTTGAATTTTATGAAATTAGTTTTTGTATTTCAGGTATTAGCATCTGAATTAATGTAGTTACGAAAAATCAGTTCCAAGATCCTGACTTGTTTCAAGTAATTATAAATTTTAAAATTCAAATTTTTTATTTTCAAGATTCTAGAATCAATGTTAAAAGTGAAGCTTCAAAATAAAGATTTAAGGACTCAGATTATTTTAATATTTCCTTGAAAAACTCAAATAGACTAACACTTCATGTTACTTTCCAGAATAATTTTACAACTTCTTTCCACCAATGGTGGCCAATAATGTGATTACCAATTGAAGTAATGTTTTTCACAACTTTCTTTTAATGAACATCTAACAATAAAGATTTCTCCAGATATACTTTCTAGAGTTTATTTTGTGACAAAACGGTATTTTTTGGCATTCCCACCATCCCTTAAAAATATTATCTAATGGAATTTTTAAATAAATCTTTCATCCCCTTCTCCACATCAGGGAAGACTTGGGTACATTTCTTTCTGACATCAAGAATCACTGATCCATCTCAAAAGATCATTTCTTTTTAAGTACATTTTATCTATAAATAATGAGAACCTACCATTTTCATCATTAAGACCTAGTTGACCAAATTTGTTGCGTCCCCATCCAAAAATAGCTCCAGAAAGGGTGAGTACAAAACTATGGGCTCCTCCTGCTGCAACTTGCATGAAAGGGATTCCAAGCAAAGACTTAATCAGCTGTGGTGAAGCTTGCTTTTTACAGTCAATGCCTAAACCCAATTGGCCATATTTATTTTGTCCCCAACAGAAGACTTCACTTGCTGTAAAACAGAAATTACAAAATTAACTATTTTCCTCACACACACAAAAATTTCATTTGAAGATCATCAGTCACTTTGGGACATTCTCCCTCTCATCAAATGGAAATACATATTCTCCTCTATTAAGTTTATTTCTTATATGGAAACACAATACCACCTAGAAGAACATTCTATATTAGTACACTTTAAGTCTGACCCACTTTACTAATGAATGGGTAAGTCACATAACTGAGGGTAATCTCATTTCCTTATGTTTCTTAAGATAGGACCATTCCTTTTTAATAGTTCTCAAGTCTCACTTTTATTCTGTGATTTATCCCAAGAGGCACTCAACCAGGCTCAAGGCTTCAGTTATTGTATACTGATCACATTCAAAATTTTATCACTAGACTAGACCACTCTTATGAGTAATAAACCCATGTATCTAATTGTTTATCTGACATCTACGCTTGGATATTACAAAGGCACCTCCAGCTCAGTGTGTTCCAAACAATTTATGACCCCCACCCTACCTCCCATATCTGGACCTATTCTCCGTGTTCTCCATCTCAATAAATGATATTATAACTGATTCAGTAGCACAAGCCATAAACACAGAGAGTCATGCTGAACTCTCATCTCTTACCTTATACACAGACTGGTAATCAGTCTATCATATATCACCACATAATATACAGTTTTCCTTCTAAAGAAAATATGGCAAATAGATCCATTCCTCACCATCTCTGCTTGTCACTTTTGCTCCCCCCAACTGTCACCCTATTTCGCAATTTTAGACATCTTTTTATTTTATTAAATGGCACTAATAACTGACACACTAATAACTATTTTTAAAATTCATACTATAAAATAGTATACATTTAAAAGTAAGTTTCCCTCTAAAATTAGATCTTGAGTCCTCTCCCAAGAGACAACCACTCTTACCAATTACTGGTATGTACTTCCAGAAATATTTTATGGACATACTAGCAGACATCTGTATATATATACAAAGAGATATTATTAAAATGTAGATCTGATAAATGTGACTAACTGAAATAGTTATCAGAGCCTTCCCAATGACACTGGGATAAGCACTTTTAACAAGGTCTGTAATGTTCTATATAATCTACCTGTTTCCAAGCTCATTTCATACCTGTCTCTTCCCTCACTATACTCTAGTGATACTTGTCTTCCTTTACATTCTCCAATGCCCATTTCTCACACACTTGCAGTTCCCTCTGTGTAGACCTTCCCCTCATCTTTGTCTAGTTCACTTCTACTCTCTCCCAGCAGGAAGCTTTCCCTGGTCACCCAGATTACCTTCAGTCCCCCTGTTATAGGCTCTAAATATCCTAAACTTTTCTTTACAGTGCTTTTTCATAGTATGTAATTATACTGTTATTTGTATATGACTGTAACATAAGGGCTAGCAGCATACTCCTTACCACTATATACTGTAAATTCCAATGTGCCTAGTTCATACTGAGGAATCAAAAAAAAAAAAAATCATTAAATGAGTAAAATACTGCTAAAGCATGAAGTCAAACAAGGCAAAAGAATCCCTTTAAGTCAAGAAAGAAAACTACCCTCCTCATCAGTAAAACGTTTGGGTTTAAATTGATCTTGGATCTACCTACCAAAATATCAAAAGAAGAGCTGACAAAGTAACAACAAAGAATACAGGGATCCCAGATCCCCACTGCCTACAGAAATTCAAATGCCTTAATTAGGCATTTAAGGCCTTTGTAACATATTACCTCAGCTGAAGGATCAGTATGTCTCCCACGCTCACAAAATCCACATAAAACTACATGCTAATATTCAAATACACAAAATACATTCCTCATTCTATGCCTTTACTAGTACTATCATCTTAGCCAATCCTCAACACTTCCCCTAGCTATTTCTCAACACTTCTCTAATTCTGAATATATTTTATTCGTCTTTTAAGACTTGCATCAAATACCAATTCCTTCTTTATTGTTAACAATTTTATTGATTTGAACTAATTACACTTTTTTCATTTCCATAGCACTTTACTTTGACCTTGATCAAAACAGTATTTTTCTGTCTCAAACTAGTTATTTGTATTATCTGCCCCCTCCACTAGATGGTATAGTCCCTAAAAATAATTCTATTATCTTACCTGTATTTCCCCACAGTTATACCCTAGTGCTGTATTCACAGTAGGCCTGGACATTTAATGAATTAAATAATACTAATAATGAAGCCACTGGAGCTTATTTTTTAAATGGTAAAAACCAACATAGTAACCCATGCTACAATCCTTAGTTGGCAGATGAAGACGTTAAATGAATAAGTAACAAAAGCAAACAAGCCTAATAGGATGCTTCGCCTTCTTTGTTTTTATTCATAAAAAGTCTGAGATCAAAGGAGACTGGGCAAGTTATAACCTTCCCACCCTCTATGAAGGCATGGCATTTAGCAGACTATAGAACAATTAGACACAAAAATCAATTCCATGTCTATATACTAGCAATAACAACTTGAAAATGATTCAATAATAAAAAATATCATTTGATATCTAGGGGAAAATCTAATAAAAGATGTGTAAGACCTATCCACACAAAACATTGAGAAAAATTAAAAGATTAAAATAGAGGGATATAACATGTTCAAGAATTTAAAGAATCAATATTGTAAAGATTTTCCTAAAATTGATATATAGAAACAATGTCATCCCAATCAAAATCCCAGTAGTCTGAGTCTCTGTGAAGACTGACAAGCTAATTCTAAAATGTATATGGATATGAAAAGGATCAAAAAGAACCAGGACAATCCTGAATTTCAAGAACAATGTTGGAGGACTTCCTGCTCAATTCAAGTATCCAGTAATAAAATTGAAAAGGGGCAAGAAAATAAAAATAATGCTTACCTTTAGAAAGTGCAAGTGAATGATAGTAACCGCAAGCAACCTGTACTATCTGGATATCTGACAAACTTTTAATATTTCTAGAAAATAAGAAAAGAAATCAAAATCAGTTAATTCCATTTAATAAATGGATCCTGAATACTATTTATTAATGCCATTTATTGACCACCTATTATGTGCAAGTAGTTTCCTACTGACCTAGCAGTTCATGCTATTTTTTATATAAGTCCATTTTACCCAGTTATTTATGCTAACATCAGTAAACAAAATCAAATATGAAAAAAACTAAGAGGTGCAATGAGAAAGCACTTTGAAAAAAGAATTTAAGCAAACTATGCTCACACCTCAAGTATTCCTCACAGTGCTTTTATAATTCAGATATTTTCTTTTATCAACAGAAATCTTTAGCTCAAAGTGTGAAACCTGGCAATATATTTGTATAACAAATGTACATGATCTAATTTGTCTAAAATTGGTGTTTGGCCTAGTTTAATACATGTTCTCTATCAGGTTCCTCAAGAACCAACAGGGATTCTTATCACGTGGTGCTACCAATTCACAAATTATGAAACCTATTCCTTTTGAGCTATCCTTTTCCTTTACATCTAAATCAGTGATATCAAACTTAATTCTTTACTAGAAAAACTTAATTCATATGTATTATGATCACTGATATATTGTCATATTTTTGCCATCTTGCATTTTTTCCTTGTATTTTTATAGTTTCTTCCTCCCTTTCTGATTTTTCCTTAATTGCAATATAATTCTGAAGGCTAATTTTTAAAACATTACAAAAATCAAGTAACTTTGTGCATCAGTCATCCCAGGTGTTTCTTATGTAGTACCCCTTCTCCTGGTCATTCTGTTTTTCCTGAATGAATGTTTTCAAGGTAAAAAGGGGGGAGGAAACATATGTTTCTTATTTCCCTTTACCTGATACTGCCACCTGACCTGATTCTGCCATATGAGAGTCCGGAGCAAGTTCTGACCAGAGTGTCGACACCCATGATTTTCGGGAGGCAGCTTCAGCAAATCAAATTTTGAGTAGGAGAAAGGAGAGTTACTCTAATTCCATAATGTTCTATTAAAAATATTTTTATTTAGTGGATTTATGTTCTTAACTACAAAACCTGAGAGTTGCACTGCTAATAATTTAGCAGAATCCAACAAGTTAGCAGGATCCAATGCACGTTCATATTTTCAAATGTAGCAAAATGCCATTTTTTCTGCAATTAGCAAAATCAAACTCTAGCAATGCAAAAACAGAAATAAAAAAATACATGGCTATGTGTAACTGTGCTGAAGTTACTAAACATTTACTGTTACTGTTTATATGCATATTAGGCACAAGATACACTGACCAGTGAACTATATTTATTTTTTAACTATATTAACTATTTTTAAAAAAACTTTTTCCAGGTATCAAGTCCAAATAAAACATTTCAAATACTACACTTTCATAGCACCTTATATTTTTTCCTTCACAGCATTTATCACTATTAATTAGTAGTGTACTTATTCATTTAATTATTACTAGTGTACTGTGCTAAACAATAAGCTCTACAGACGCAGAATATGTGTCTTATACTCACAGGCTCCCCAGCACTTACCACAGTGCCTGGCAAAAAATATGTAATGAATACATTGTTTAAGGATGGAGTTTATAAAGTCTTTGGGGCTTTAATATTAAACTAGTCATAAAATCTGTCCCTAAAACTTCTAAATTTGCATAGCAATTTATACTGGGGTGACTTCCACATTTCCAAAATTATCATAAGGCTTGGAATAGAACATAAATACTCATTTCTTTAGCCATGTTTGCTACAGCGACAAGGAACTATATTCTTCTGTGGTATTACTGTTTAAAAAAAATCTCCCTTCATCTCCATGTAAATTAATATACTGAAGGTTTGGGGAGCTGAGGATATGTTTTTCTTCTTTCCTTTTTTTTTTTTTAGCTTTCAGGAATAAAAAAAGAAAAATAGTGAATGGTAATAAGTTACCATATTAGTTCCCCATGTTTCATTTTTCCTAAAGGGATAACAAATTATAAAATTCTTAATGAAACAGATTTTTTTAATTCATCAAAAATAATTCTCTTTAAGTAAAAAAGCTAATGTAGATATTTAATTGTTTTCAATTTTTTAAAATGATTCAAATACAGTTAGGAAGTAAAATAAGCCAGAATAAACTTTGTAAATAAAAATACATACTTATACATACACACTACATGAAGATTCCTATTTAATCAGAACTATGAAGAGAAAAAATCAGAATTCAGACATCTAGGGTCAATATTTTCTAACTGCTTATAAATTTGAAATAACTCCTTAGAGTATGTCAAACATTTTACTTTATTTATTTATTTTTAAAGATTTTATTTATTTGACAGAGACACACCGAGAGAGGGAACATAAGCAGGGGGGAGTGGGAGAGGGTGAAGCAGGCTTCCCGCAGAGCAGGGAGAGCAGGGAACCAGATGCTGGGCTCGATCCCAGGACTCTGGGATCATGACCTGAGCTGAAGGCAGACACTTAACGACTGAGCCACCCAGGTGCCCCATGTCAAACATTTTAAATGGCTATGAGATCACTAAATGATTCACTATGAAGAACCTGAATCATTTCTTTTCTGTACTGTATTTTGAAAGATGTCTGAAATTTGTAAGAAAACTCTTAATAAACTTGGAATAAGATTTGTACTCCCCTCTGTTGGGAAGTCTGCCAAAATATATTAATTATTGGATATGGGTGCTATTGTACTGTTATACTTTACAATTTAATGTACAGGGGCATTAGAGACAGAAACAAGGCACTTCGAGTTGTTTGTGAAGGTAAAATTCCAACACTGTTGACAAAGACTAGTAAAAAGTTTACATTACATAATTAAAAATTTCAGAACTAAAACATTAAATATTTTGTCAAATTCAAGCTCAACAAGGTGTTTACATTATTTTGTATGTCAATTATACCTCAATAAAGTGGTTTTAAAAGTACCCAGTGCTCATTACATCAAGTGCCCTCCTTAATGCCCATCACCCAGTTACCCCAGCTCCCCACCAAACTCCCCTCCACCAACCCTCAACTTGTTCCCTATATTTAAGAGTCTCCTCTGGTTTGCCTGTAGACCTGCATTTCTGCCTAGTTATTTCTTTTTATGTAGGATATATGTTACACCTTTTATATAAAAAAAAGTTAAACCTAATTTTACTGTCTTTTATTTAGTTTGATATAAGTGGAAATACATACTTTTCCATGCAAACTTTAGAAAACCAGTTGTTGGCAACAAAATTGTAGGGTTGTTTTTTTTTTAATTCTGTTTCTTGGACCTATGCAATAAAAACTATGAAAGGATGGTATAACATGATCCTTGTGAGAACAGCTATTTCTGGATTATAGAAACTAATTAAATATGTTTGACTGTCTGTTCTGGATGATTCAGTGGCTCAGCTGCTGTGGGGCTCCACTGGGGGCTTACCAATAAAAACACATGAAGAAAAACTTTAGCTAGAGGACATTTAGACTATAAATACTGAGAGTTTGTGAGGACTATCCCAGACTCTCAGGTGTTAGCTGATCTAAATAGCTCTCCAAAGACACGGCAATTAGTGGCAGCCACAATAAAGGAGACTTTTTAACCTTCAGTGGTAAAAACCAAGCAGCAGTCGTAGGGAAAAGACCCTCTCGCCCATCAACACTTGCTAGGTGTATCCTTCCTTAGCAACATGCTCTAGAACAGGGGACTTTTACTTTTGTGCTGGCAGGAGGAAATCAGCTCTCAGCTGGCTAATAAGCCATCTCTCCTTAGTATCAAGTCATATAAAGATATACCTCAACTAAATTTGATGTTTATTACTATCATCTCCTCTTGCTTGAAACAATAGTATGATTTATCTATCACTGGTCTGGAGTATGTTATTTATCCCATATGCTACTGGCTTGTGAAATTCCTTTAGTAAACCTGTGTTAAAATAGATGGCAGGCAAAGACAAACTCAGTCTCTGAGCATGATTTGCCCCAAACAAAATATACTGAAATACTAAACTGCCCTTTAACACATGAATATATCAGTAAAAACTACATATATGTTATAACGAATCAGATCAGTCCATTGAAAACTGAGTAGGTTGAACAGGAGAAATGCCTTAACACAGAGCTTAAAAGTTAATACACATATTTAGCAAATTCAAAAACATACAAGTTTAAACCAAATGACTCAAATAAGATCTCTTTCAGGTCCCAATCCAGGTTCATGAAATAGTGAAGTCACAAATACATAATTTATTATAGGGCACTGTTCAAATAAACTGTCATATAATAAAATTCTCTCCTTATAATTACCTTTCTTTCCATTTACTAAGTATCTATGAATTACTGACTGAAATCCCCTATACTAGAAGTGAAGAGCAACAAAAATGTAAGTATGATTTTAAGAAACCAGTGGAGTAAATGTAAATTAAAAAGCTTTGACATAAATCATGGTTTTGAGATGGTGATTCAGAAAATCTCACATGTAAGTCCCTTTTCAATCATAAAAACACAAAATTTTAAGAATCTTAAATTAAAAATCCCATTCTCCGACAATTATTTGTGGGAGGAAATAAAAGCAGAAGATATGACAAATGTGAGGTCACTAAGTTTCTATGAATGCTTTGTATTATTATCTAGCCAACAGCTATTTGGTTGCAAATTACTATTTCCTGATATAAATCAAAATTGAAATGACTAAAAAATTCAATTTACTTAGCTTAAGGAAAAAAAGTTTTCTCCCAAGAGCACCATCATTAAGAGATATTAAAAGCATAATGGGAGTTGTGTTTGTTATTTAATTGTTATAACAAAAGAAATTAAGGGGACTTGGGGAGTTCTGTGGAATTTAGTTACAAGATCAATCAAGGAAACATGTGAATATGATGTATCCAAAAGTCTCAACTGACAGTTTTTACTAGAACAGATATAAAACGTTAAACTAAAGACCAAAAAAAACACTTTTCATAAATTAAAACAAAGCAAATACTTTTAAGTTCTCAATAAACACACACGAGGAAAGGTCACAGGCTTACTAAAGGAACTAACTATCTTTCCTAGTTAAATAAAACTCATTTCTAACAATAAGTTTCTGTTCTGAAATATATTATTAGTTCCTGTGTTCCATTATCTTATCCTAGTAAGTTACATCCTATTTCTTAAACCAAAACAAACATTAATCAATAAGTTAAAAACAAAATATCTAAATGTGTATAAAAATAATGCTACCTAGATTTATATCTAAAATTAGTTTAATACCTTTGTTTCTCTGGAGAGTTTTCTTTTGTCCCTATAACTATTACTAGGAAGGAAGAACAAGAGTTTAAGGAAGCAAGAATTTGTATAATTTAAAAAAAAAAGTGTGAGTTACTGTATTATTTATGTATTTAAAACAAATTGGATACTTTTCTTTAAATCCGTATATTTTTACCTATATATGTTCATGCTCTTAAAATTTTTTAATATTAAAACAATGGTATGCCCTATGTAAAAGACTACACAACATTAACAAGGCATTTATTTTTTATTTTTGAAATAATTCTATGATGAATTAGTAACATAAATTAAGTCGTGGCCATAGCTTTGTAAAAAAGTGGAAAGTGACTGAATTCTTTTTACACTAAGCATGAGGGACTTCTATATTCAATAAAAACAATAAAACACAAGATAGAGAAACATGCAACCAACCAATGTTTAATAAATATTTCAATGGCTGCGGTACTCAAGATAGAACTAGTAGTTTAAATTAGCCTAAACCACTTAAAATTTTTATAAGAAAATAGTTATAGTAAAGTACACATTCCCCATCCCTTTTCTTTACAAACATAAATAATTTAGGGGAAAATATGTAGTACATAAATAGTACATAAAAAATAGCACTGAGCCCAAATTAAAGGCAAGAACCTACCTAGTAAACGTCCTTAAGAACTTAAAAGGGAGAAATAATTAGATGTCACCTCTTACTTGCCCACAGTAAGCAGAATAATTTAGAAAACAAATTTATTATAAAAGATTGTTAAAGACCTCTTTTTGGTCACCTTTGTTACCTGGGTACTCTGATACATTCCTCTGATCCTAGCAGGCCAAGCTGTCCATCAGAATCGAGACCCCACGCATACACCTGGCCCTTGTCATTTAGTGCTAATGTATGAGCTTCTCCACATGAAACAGCTACGATATTTTGGGCATCCAGGGCAACAACCTGCTCTACAGAAACCAAGAAGAGAGACATTACATTCTAGTTTTGAACTACCAATGAGAATAAAACAGTCTTCATCTTGTGCAAAAAAAAAGCTTAAGAAAATGATAAAATACAGACTAAGTAAAACACTATAGTTACTCTGAAAAATTTAACAAGTATGTGCCATATAAAATTCTCATTGTGGTAAATACAGATATACATCCTAGGGCATAAGCAACTCAAAATATTAAGTGACTTGAACATTTTGGGGAAGAAGTTAAAGGTTTATAAAGTTTCTCTCAGAAAGTGCTCTTCATTCAAAGCCATTACCAGTAACAGAAGAGTCCAGCTGAAAAGGGAATAATTTAAATATCCTGGGCCAAATTATTTAATAATGAAATCATAATTGACATATACTACTATGGAGTGATTCTGAAATTAATAATCTGAATTGGCAATTTCTGATAGAAAAGCAAATTCTTTACAGATCTCATAAATAAAGCATCTACTAGATATGCTGAGGAGGGAACTGAAAGGCAATGTAACCATAACGAACAGGTTTTAGTTTATGGACTGCCTTATCAAAGACATAAAAACCCCATATGTGGTTAAAAGATATTCAAGTTTTAAACCAGAAAATAATTTAAAATACTGGTCCTTCATTAGATTGTCAGTAGCCACTGACACACCAGCAAAGAAAGTGAAATTGTTTCCTTAGTCTCCTTAAGATGTGTAACGTCTATCAGTTTACTACTCTACTACTACATGTTTTTTTTTTAAGATGCCATTTGAAATGAACCTTTTTTTAGCTTACTAATAAAACTATAATTTCTGTCTTCAATAAACTGAAAGCCTCATGCTGAAGAGCTGTTAAACTGAATCAATCAGGGTTTCTTCTGAAGCACACTTTAGCTCAATGTAGAAATGCAGCTGTTCAGTAAAGAAACCAACTGCATCAAAAAAGTTTAAATCCCTATGGTTAGAGAAATTCACATTCTATCTGGATTACTACCCTGCATTTTGGGGTGGGAGGTCAGCCCTAGATAGCCTCTAAGAATCTATACAACTTTAATGATATTATTTAAAGTACTTACCTTAAAGTACTATGAGTTAGTAACTCGTGAAGCTGGTGAACAGTATGTGGAAGTTCATTATACTAATCTTTTGATATCTGTATATATTTTGTGTATATGTTTTTAATGAAATTATATTGTAGGAATATACAAAACAAGCAAAGAGAACAAGATATAACACATTGTCCTCCCCAAAAAAATCAAGAAAAAGGACTTACAAGTATGATGTCATTTATTTACATCAAAACATTACCATAAATCTTAATTATGAATAAAGAAGTAAAACACTCAAAAGATCTGTTCTCTTTCACACAGGCCCCAGAAATAAGTCAATGTATCTCCAAGACTATCCTCAAAGGAAATATAGTAAAGAGCAGAAAATGACAAGATGACAAGACAAATGAGTAAGACTGGTCAGTTCAACAGCTAGTGAAGAGTACTTAAATTAGATAGCAATGGCTATAAAATCAAAGGCACCAAAATCCAAGAAACAAAGAAACAATAATCATTCATAACAAACACTAGTATTTACCATATACCCTTCTGCTCCAAAGACTGGAGACACAATGAGAATAAAACATTTCTAGCCCTCAAAGGGTTTACGGTCTACAGAAAAACAGGTGAGATAAGGACTGTGATTAAATGCTAAGATAAAGATAACAAAAGGCACCATGGGAACATGAGATACTTTTAAAACCTTCAAAGATACTAGGAAGAATTCTGGAAGACAGTAACACTTAGACACTAAATCCTCAGCTGAAGAAAGAGGAAGAGATTCCATGTAGCCATTTGAGAAAATTCTTACACCAAAACAAACTAAAAACAAAGTGAAAAGACTAATAGGAAAAACAGGGGAAAAAATGTTATTCATACCTCAAAGAAATAATCTCCCCAATTTTTAAAGATGTAGTTGGGAAAAAAAAAAAAGACCAGTAATTCAATGAAAAATGGACAAAAGATGTCTGATAGTTCACAGAAAAAGAAACAGAAATGGCCCTTTATCATAATGAAAAGATGCTCAACTTCATTAATGAGAGAACTGCAAATCCAAACTACATTTGGAAGCCAATAATATGTTCACTTAGAAAATTTATAAAACCACTTATAATTTTATACTTTTCCATATGGGTTAACCTTTAAGCATCAAAGTTTACATTTATCAAGAGAATGAGAAGAAAAGCCACAGAACGGGAGAAAATATCTGCAAAAGATAGCCCTAATAAAGGACTATTATCCAAAATATACACAAACTCTTAAAACTCAACAATAAGAAAATAAACAGCCCAATTAAAAAATAGGCAAAAGAAGTGAACAGACACCTCACCAAGGAAGACACACAGATGGCAAGTAAGCCTATGAAAGGATGTTCTACTTTATATGTCATCAGGGAATTTCAAATTAAAATGAGATATCACTATACACCTTATTAAAATGGCCCAAATTGCTGGAAAGGATAGAGAGCAACAGAAACTCTCATTCACTGCTGGTGGGCATGTAAAAGGATAGAGCCACTTTTGAAGACAGTTTGGTAGTTTCTTACAAAACTAAACATACTCTTATTGTATGATCAAGTAATCACACTCCTTGATATTCACCCAAAGGAGCTGAAAACTTATGTCAACACAAAAATCTACATAAAGATGTTTACAGCAACTTTAGTCACAATTGCTAAAACTTGGAAGCAACCAAGATGTCCTTTAATAGTGAATAAACCGTGATATATCCAGATGATAGACTATTATTCAGCAATAAAAAGGAATAAGCTATCAAGCCATGAAAAGACATGGAGGACACTTAAATGCATATTACTAAGTAAAAGAAGCCAATTTGAAAAGGTTACACTGTGTATGTTTCCAAATACATGACTTTCTGGAAAAGGCAAAACTTTGGAGACAGTAAAAAGTTTAGTGGTTGCTGGAGGTTAGGGGGAAGAGAGGGATGATTAGACAAAGCACAGAGTATTTTAGGGTAGTAAATAAAACTATTCTGTATGATATCATTACTATTCTGTACAATACTACGTCATTAGGCATTTGTCAAAACCCATAGATTGTACAACACAAAGAGTGAACCCTAAGGAAACCATGGACTTCGGATGATGTCAATGTAGGTTCGTTAATGGTGGTAAATGTACCACTGTGGATAGGCTGTGGATAGTGGGGGAGATTGTGCATGTGTGGGGATGAGATATATGGGAACTCTGTACTCCGCTAAATTTTGCGGTGAACCTAAAGCCACTCTAAAAAATAGTTTATTAATTTAAAAAGCTTATGATTAAAATAAAACACACACCAAGATACTATTTTTCATAAAAATCCAAAAGTTTGGTAATAATCTGTTGGAGAAAAAAGCACTCTTATATCCTGATAATAGAACTGAGAAACACAACACTCTCTATGGAGAGGAATGTGGCAATACCTAACAAAACATATGCATTTACCTTCTGGAATTCCATTTCCACGAAAATATCCTACAGATACACCTAAGTACTTTGGCACAGGATTATTTTGAGCTCAAAAACATTAAGTAGAAATAGATACAAGAAAAGCTATCTGCCCTCTCCCTATTTGCCTAAAAGCAGGACATAAATATATAAAGGTGTCCACCGCTTCCCTCTCTACCAGGAAGAACAGAAGTTAATCACCAGAGACAACTCTAAACCCTTATCAGCTCAGAGATGGCACCAGGAAAACCTACATAACAAACTTTCCTAACTAGCCCTTATCTTCCGTTAGTTTCCCCACCTATTTACCTTCCCACAATTTGCCACCCCAAAACTCAATCCTTTTTGCTGTTACTTCTCTAAAAATTTACTGTTCTTGGGCACCTGGGTGGCTCAGATGGTTAAGCGTCTGCCTTTGGCTCAGGTCATGATCCCAGGGTCCTGGGATTGAGTCCCGCATCAGGCTCCCTGCTCAGCGGGGAGCCTGCTTCTCCCTCCGCCTCTCTCTCTTTTATGAATAAATAAAAAATCTTTTAAAAAAATTTACTGTTCTTTTGTTCTCTGTAAGCCCATATTCTACCACCTGAATTACTCATTACAAGTTTATTAACACGTGTTGAGGTTCCATGTGTAAGCTCAACGCATGTGTTAATAAACTTGTTTTGTTTTTCTCTCGTTAATCTACCCTTTGTCTAGACAAGTCCAGCTAGAGAACCCAGGAAGGTAGAGTACAAATACACATGTGTGTATGTGTTTCTGTTTGTATGTGTGAATGTGTGTATTATATTTGCAGCACTGTATATAATAAAAGACTCGAAATATTCCAAATATCCATCAACAAAGGATTCCATCTACACACTAGAATACTATGCTCCACAAACAAAATAATAATAATGAGGAAACTACATACTGATATAGAAAGACCTCAAGGGTATATTAGCAAAGAGAAAAAAAAAATCAAGATGTGGAATACTATACGATTTGCTACTTTTGTATAAGAGGTAAGAATAAGTATATTCATACTTACTTAGATCCACATAAAGAAATTTTGAAATGATATACAAAAAAACTAATGAACATATTTATAGGTGATGCAGGTAGAGGGGGAAATACAGTAGTCAAATGTAAGGGGAAAACTTCCCAATGTGTATTTATTGATTTTTGAACCATGTGCATATATTGTCTATTCCAAACAAAAAAATAAAAATTAAATACATTAGAGAAAATAGTTAAAGCCATTTGTTAAACCAACATTTTCATTTTAAAACTGATGTGAACTCTTTAATTTTTTTCTACATACTAAAAACTCAAGACAAATAATCTTCGTTCTTGCAGAATTTTTGTCCCATCAAATTACTGAGATACCTATTTTGAGAATGGATAACAACTTCAGAAATATATTATTAAAGAAACATAATAACAGTTTTATGTCCCGGGAATAGCATTTAATATAGGCTTCTCAGACAACAAACACACAAAACTCATAACTTCTTGTACAAATCTTTAAAAT